TACTACCATTAGATCAGGGACGATGATATGCTATGTTTTACAAAACACCACAAAATTTTTCTTAAATGCAACAAACCACAGAAATTGGTTTTAATTATAGCAGAATATCACAGAATCCCAAATAATAGGGTGTTTTTCACAGAATTGATATTTTAATATATATTTTTCTATTAATAGCTAAATAATCCTTAAAAATAAATTTTAAATTAAATAAAAATATGTATTTTCTTGCTTAATTACTAGATTTTTACACAAGTGCAGGTGGCGAAGCCACCTGTATATGCAATTATCTTGTATTGTATAGGTAAAAATTCCCAAAGTACTGGAATAAATATACACGTACATGCAATAATACAAAAAAAAAAGAAAGTTCCAAAGTACTGGTGTAAACATGTTTTCATGAATAATGATAGTTTACCATTATGCCCTTGTAAAAAAATTTTTTTTTAATAAATCATATTTTATTACTATATTTTGTTATCATCTTTTTTGATTTTTTTCTTTTTTATAATAACAAAAACAAAAGTTTCTATTACTATCTATATAAGTGAGCATCCCGGTGTTTTTAGAGAAGATAAAAAGGTTATGTTCTGTAATTATTGTGATTTGTCTATTGAATAGAAAGCTAAATCTACTGTCGACGGATATTGTAATTCAAAGGGGTATTTAAAAAATAAACAATTATATGAAAATAAAGAAAAGTTCAAAAAGCAAGTTATGCTTGCTACTACTATTGCATCCAAATCAAAGAGAGAGGTTATAGAAGATTTAATTAAAGCTTTTTTATTTGCAAATATACCCTTTGAAAAAGTAAATTGTTTACTTCTATTTTTTAAAAAACACTTTAAAGAAGGTGGCACAATTCCTCAAGCTTTTATACTTCATCAAATTTATTTGCCCAATATTTTTAATACCCATTTTTCTATACTTCAAAATCTCTTTAATCAAAAATCCATAGCTATAATAATGGATGAAACTACAGATGATTGTTCACGTAGTGTTGTAAACACTTTTTAACTTTCATCAAGATACAAAATTAATTTCTGTTAATTTTTTAAATACAGTTAATAATTTAATAGTTGGTGGGGTTTTATTAACCCAATTAGTTAAATATAATATTTTCTACACTTTACCAAAATTATTCGTTACTGATTCTGCAACATACATGAAAAATGTTATCGAGATATTTTAAAACCAGTTATGCCACAATTATTTCATATACCTTGTTGTGCACATATTATTAATCTTATTGGGTAATATCTTCATAATTTTAATTTTATTATTTTTTTAATTTAATTTTATATAATAATGATTATATATTATTTTATATCTTAGTGAAACCTGGTGAATATTTCCAGATTTTGATATTTTAAGAATTCTTTTATCAAAAATTAAAGAAATATTTGTTAATTCACCTGCATGTAAAGGCCATTACTTAAACTATCTTTGAATGCATAGAATTATAAATCCTTGTAAAATTCTATTGCCAAATAAAATAAGCTAGAATTTGTGGTTTAAGATAGTATTATATGCTAAGGATTATATTGAGTATTGGCCTTCCTTCTATCTTGAAGAACATAAACAGGATACAAATCATGAGTCAATTGCTAAAATAAATGAAATTTTGCAAGATAAGTATAAAAGAAATATAACTATTATTTATATTAATTTTATAGCATTTTATGCACAAGAATTTATTCACGATTTGGACTTTTTTTAGCAACAAAATAAGCCAATATTTCCGTATATTAAAGAACGGCTTGAATAACTTTCATCATTTATTGAAGAAAATATTATAACCCAAGATTTTGAATCAGATATAAATAATATTATTACACAATTTAACTTTAATTTGGATGAATTTAATAATATTTTTCAATCAACATTTGTTGTTGCATATAATAAATATGTGGCACATATTCCACAACATCCTGCACGTTTTTTATTTTATGCTTGTCGTATGTTTAATTCTTTATATATTAGAATGGAAAATCAAATAGGTAATATTTCTTGTAGGGATCTTTGTTGATATTCAGTAATTACTGAGTTTAATAATCTATCATATGAACTTTTATAGGAATGGGCGATTTAGTGTGGGTCTGTAAATAAATTAGTTGGAGAAGAAATTAATCTTCATAATTATTGGGTGGAAATGCAGGCAATTTTGCTGATTTTATCAATTATCGCACAAAATTATATATGGCTTCCAGTTTCTAGCTATAGTGTAGAACGCAGCTTTTCTATGTATAATAATCTTTTAAATAGTGATCGTCGGAATTTTTTGTTTGATTCTTTAAAGCAATTTTAACAGTGAATAATTTTGAGGTTTTTAATAAATAAAATATATTTACACTATATTTACACTATATTTATACCATAATTACACCATAATTACACTATATTTTTTAGCATATGAAATCACATAATCGGGACTAAACTAGCACATAATTGCACAGAAATTGATATTTTTATCACAGATTTTTACAGAATATACTAAAAATACATCACGCCACATCACAGAATTTTAATTAACCACACGCAGAATTTGGTTTTATTTACCGCAGAAAATCATCATCCCTGCATTAGATGCATCTTGATGAGCTTTACAACTTTGTTAGAAACCTAAGAGTGATTTACTTAGTAAGAAAAAATATTTTAGAAGAAATCTCTCCACATTTGGCTTAATAGTAAAATTTATTTATAAAATTTGCAGATCCTCTCCAAATGATAGATGAATTGTCTATTAATAAATATAAATATAAAAAAAATTTAATTTAAATAAAAAAACTTACTACTTTGTTTAATTGCTAATTTTTTCTTACAATGCTATCTTTGTCTTGACCACTTAAATTAATATTGTAATTGATATTTATATGAATCTTTTAAAATTACACATATCTAACTTTTGTTTTTTAAAATAAAATAAAATAATAAGTAATATAAAAAAGAATATTGTTAACATTGCAGATTGCTATATCGCAGGTTAATATAATTGTCCAATGAGATCACAGGATCTTGTATAACAAAATCAATGAAAAATTAAAAACTTTTAAAAAAATTAAAAATTTTAAATACTCGAAATTTCATTATGTAAACTAGTCTTAGGCTTCTAATTTAAAGTTTTTAGCATTTATTTTTGTATATAAATATGCTCTCTAATCCCAATTTTAATACTAGCTCGAACTCTAACTCTAATTAATAATAATTTTGAATTTTTTTTTAAATATTAACTTGTGATATCACAACCTAAATTTAACAAAAATCTATAAAAAATTATAATATAAAAATATAAATAGACCTTAATATTGCTGTTATTAATTTTAGTGCTTGTTTTTACAATTACTTAAAGCATACACTGATTCTACACAAATTATATTATTAGGAATAGCATATCAAAAATTATATGAAATCTTTAAAATATTTAGATTGAGAGATGTAATTATATAGGGTCTTTTATAATATTGAATCCAATCTATTTTATTTAATAATATTTAATTAAATTATTTAAAAATAATATGATATATACTATACAGTAAATAAATTTTATTTAAAAAAAACTATCAAAAATAAATATGCTACATGTCTAGTTTAAGTACAACTGCATTATGCAACTATTGTAATTATTTTATAAAACATATCTAATAATAATTTTATTTTAGCTTTAATATCACTTGCAAATCTCTTTTCATATAATTTTCTATATAAATTATTAATATATATTATTTACTATTTATAATGAACTTGACAAAACTTGAAAATACACGTATATATTAAATGTTTTTTCCAAGTCAAAGAATTATTGATTAAAAAGCTAAAGCTTTATCTAATCTGGTAAGCTGCACCATATCAAGATTACCAATAATATAATATTATTCTTTTTTATAAATATGTTTAAATTTGGCTAGCTTCCTAGTAAATTATTTTACAAGATCGAATAATATATTGAATATACATTGATATGTAGTAAAGCGTCTAGCTATCCCACAAAATTTTTTCCACCCCCTGTAATTTTGACCAATCGAATTTTAAGATCAGGTGTAACGTAAAAATTGAAACGGACAAAAAAACAGGAATGGAAACCATTTTTTGCGGCCTAATTAAAAATGTTCCTCATGAAATTCTACTAATAGGCGTCATATTATTCTAACTATAACCCTAACTAGAACGCGGTTTTCTTAGATTTAATTTTACACGCAATTTTTTACTTAGAAAACAAAACATAAATTTTGATTGGTCAAAATTACAGGGGTGGAAAAATTTTGCGGGACAGCTACCTAAAATAAATAAAGTAGTTGTTGCTTGATTTGTAAAAATTTAGGCAAAGGTTAAAACTAATATGTCAAAATCAATATTATATTATAAAATTATTTACCCTAAAGCAGGTTGGTAATAGAGCGAATGGAGTTCAAAAAACTAGTATCCATTGGCTCCATTCAGAGCTTCATTGGTTTCATTCGCAGCTCCACTGGGCTCCATTGAACTTCATTGCCAAAACTATCCTTATTCTAATCTTAAAGTATGCACTTAAAGAGAAATTATAAATGCAACTGCAAATTTATATCTGGTCCCTAGAGCATGCATTTAAGGGGACGTAACTGTATATAAGAATTTTGTTATAAAGCAATAGTGATGGATTAATATTAGCATTAATTGATATAGTTTATAAAGTTAAAAATAATTTTGAAACAACGTAATAAATTTAATAATTAAGTCTATTACAACAATAATTTATTTTAAATTTTTATGTTGTTCTAAGTCTACATCGCTAGATTGGAGAAACCCTAACAATTAAATAAATTGTATTACAGTCACACTCCCATATAAGTACCTCCTATATAAACACATCGCCTATATAAGTACATTGATTTTTTGAACCAACTATATCGATATACTATTAAATGTATAAAAATAGTTCCCTATATAAGAACACTTTTTATGGGTCCCGATGGTGTGATTATATGGGAGTGCGACTGTATCTATAAATGGTATGTATATATTATTTATGAAAAACTCATAATCCTTTGCGTTTCCTTTTCCCAAAGCTTATAAAAACCTAATGAATAAAAGTGAAATTTATTAATAAAGAAAAAAACCGGTTAAAGCAACAGTAAATCTCACACAAACATATAAACTTACTTAGAATTCCAGCAAGAAATCCAGAAACTGCTTGCACGCCATCTGAAAAAGTATATTCAAAGAAATCATACCCTTTAATAGTAAGAAGGTTTACAATTAACGTTTTTAGTTTTGTTTAAACAATGTCAATAAAAAGTTTAACAAATACATACCGCAAAACAAAAAGTCCATAAAAATTTTAGCTAAACTAACTTTTAACCAATATAACCTATGTTGGCACTTTTCCAATTCCTCTGAATTAGCCTTTTCAATTTTCACAATTTTCTTATTCATTTGCAAAATTTTGAATACAATTTCGTGAATATCCAAACAAATACTGAAAAACCAAAGTTTAATCGCAATGGGCTCTGCCCATTTTGCAACTGATTTATCTAAAATTTCAATTTTACCAAGACAATATAAATCATCGAATATATCATTCATTATACCAACAATTGCATTGATAACTCCTAAATAATGAACAAATATTTCATATGAAGTTGAAGAACGAGAAATTTTACGTGCACCAGTATAATATTCACGTAAATCTGAATAAGGTTCTAGAAAATGAGCTAAACGAATTATTTTACGTGTTGTGCTAAATTGTGAGGTCATTGCTTTTAATCGAGGAGAAACCCTTGAAAGGAAATATTTGTTTCGATAAAATAGAAAAATAACAGGATTAACTTTGGAGACCTTACGATCATGAATCCAAAGAATAATTTTTCCAAAGTATTGGATGATTTTTAAGGTTTTGTCACGGCCATCAGAATGAACTAGTAACCTACGTAATATTTCAACGTTCGATGGAGGTGTATGCATTTTTTTGCGAAAGACTTTGAACTTGCACTAACATTAAGCTGGTTACTCAAATTTATTATGATCGATCCAACGCTAACGCTAAAAAAACAGACATGCATACAAATAACACGGATATATACCATTAAGGAAAGTTTCGTAATCAAGTTTAATTAGCCAACGTGGGGTAATTTTATTGGTCGTTCTGATGTAATTTGGCAGTATTTAATTTCCAACAATTTTAAAAATAAACATCGATATTTTAAAAATGTCAGATAATGTTTCGAACGCTGTTCAAAAATTATGGACATCATATTCAAAGAATACACCACAAAGCCTTCAACTTATTGATGCTTATTTAGTTTTTATTCTCTTTTCTGGTGTTATCCAATTTGTGCATTGTGTGCTTGTTGGAACCTACCCATACAATGCTTTTTTAGCAGGATTTATTTCTACCGTTGGTTCGTTTGTGTTGGCAGGTTAGTTTTTTTTATATGCATGTCTTTTATTTTCATTTTCTTTACAAAGATCTACTTCATTCATGTTCTGAATAGGTTTAATAATAATTTAATTAAAACTCATGGATTTTTTTTTCCCGTAGCTAATTTACGGATTCAAACTAATCAGGACAACGCAGGCGAATTCAAAACAATATCTCCAGAGAGGTAATTACAATTATAAATTAATATGATTTTATTACTAC